CCACCTCCAACAGAATGCCACAACCAGACACATACTTCCCTCTCCTCCCTCATCAGCGTTCTGCAAGGACCATTCTCTCCAGGACAGTCTGGTCCACTCCTCCTCCACTTCCAACACCTCCCCAAGACACCTTCCCATGCAAACATGGAAGGTACAACACCTGCCCAGTTACTTCCTTTCTCTTCACTATCCAAAACCTGAGACATACCTTTCAGATGAAGCAGCAATTTACCTGCACTTCACTCAATCCAGTCTACTGCAGCTGCTGCTCACAACGTAGTCTCTTCTACATTGGAAGAAACCCAGACTGGGGGACCACTTTGCAAAGCACCCAAGTTTTGTCCATAAAAAGGACCCCGACTTTCCAGTTGCATGCCACTTCAACACACCATGGTGTTCCCTAGCCAACATCTCTGTCTGAGGCTTGTTACAGTGCTCCAGCGAAGCTCAGTTCAAGCTGGAAGAACAGCATATCATTTTCTGATTGGGAAACCTACAACCTTCAGGATTCAATATCAAGTTCAATAATTCTAGTGTGTGAGCACCTGTCCCTAACCCCCACACGCCAAGTCTTGTCGTTACATCGGCTCCTACCACTAAACAACCCATTGTCAGGAACTAATGGTCACTAGGGTGACCATTACCCATTCGTTTGCCCATCTGCTGTTCCCTCTCTCAGCTCCATCCCCATCGATCATTTACTCCTTCCTCCTCCCCATGTTCAGCATATATACCAACCTTTTCCTAGCTACCATAATTTCTGGAGAAGGTTCACCGGGCCTGAAAAAATTAACTATTTCTTCTCCACATATGCTGTCAGACCTGCTGAGTTTCACCAGCAATATCTGTTCTTGTTTCAGATTTCCATCATTGCAGTACTTTGTTTTTTTTTAAGTATTGTTTACATGTCTACAGTCCCACTTTGCCCTGAAGCCAGCGCTGCAAACAAATTACAGCATTTGGATTACTCCCAAACGAACAATCCCCTGGAACAATAGATCAGAGGGAACACTAAAGGCAGAGTCAGCCAGACACCAATCAAGGAACTTTGAGGAAGTGTCTTATCAGACACAAAACACAAACTTTATTTCTCTCAGTTGCTCAGTTCCTCCTGCATTTATTATTTTTAAGCAAGGACAGGTTCAACACCTGCTGTGGAAACACATTGCTCTCACCTCCATTGGAAATCTGACCCAAGCCACACAACATACAGATAGGACTATCACCTGGCAAAGCCTGGTTCAGAGGCACAGATCCTCAGGTAGGGGTAGTTTTGCTTTTGGAGTGGAGGTGCCGGGGGGATTAGGGTGATGTGTGCTATGTTTGAGAGACGTGGGAATGAAGAGATTACAGGTGGCAAGCAGGGGGAGAAAAAGGGGTGACTCATGGCAGTCGGGAGACAGGCAGAGGGGGTACTTGCAATCTCAGGTTTTGCACCATAGAAAGGTACCTTTCAGTCATCATGATGCCTGTAACGGCTCTCAAGAAAACCAGCTTAGCACATCTTAAAACAGTGCGTTTCTAATTTCTTCAGAAATCCACAAGTGAATCTGTCCCTGCCACACAGTACATACGCTAAATCTTCACTGTGTAAAACGCCTTGTCCTCAGTGCACCTTCAGTCCTTTATCATTAACCTGTGTCTCCTGCTCTCAACCATCTGCTAATGTGAACAGGATTTCTCTGCCTACACCCCTCATGAATTTGGTCACGTTATGAACTATTGGCTTTAGAGAAGATAAGGGTGAGCAAACATCCCAGCTTCTGCAAAACAAAAACAGGAATTGCTGAAGAAACTCAGCAGGTCTGACATCTACGTAGAGATAAGAGTTGAAGTACGGTACGACTCTGCAGAACCTTTTGTAGTTCATGCACAACGCTCAGAAACACAGTCATACAGCACGGAAACAGACCACTTAGATCCGAACTCAAAGCTCTACAAACACTCAATTTAGATAACATGCTTCCTTTTTATCCTTTGAGCCAAGATTGGACAATTTCCTACTTGATACTAAATTTGCCAGATCTTCACCCACTCACTTAACCTATTGATATCCCTCTGTAGCTCCCTTACGTCCTTTTTATAACTCCTTTTCTGATCTACCTGTAGGCCATCAGCAAGTTTAGCAACCATGCTGTCTGTTCCTTCATCCAAATCATTCATAGAAATTGTAAAAATTGGAGGCCCTAGCACAGCCCCTGTGGCGTACCACTCGTTCCATGTTGCCAACCATAAAATGACCCATTTATCCCCACTGTTTTCTGATAGCCAGGCAATCTGTATATTACCTCTGACACTATGTGCTTTTTATTTTCTGCAATAACCTTTAATACGGAATCTTATCAAATGTCTTCTGGAAATCCAAGTACACTACATTCAGCTACCCTTTCTCTATCACTAGTGTTACTTCCTCAAAGAACTCCAATAAAATGATTAGAAAGGATTTCTCTTTCTCAAAACCACATTGAATCTGTCTGAATTTCCTAAATGTCTTTAGTAATCGTCCCTATGATAAACGTTAAGTCAAATGGCCTGCTTTTGGTTCCTGCCATTTTTTGTTTTAAATAAAGTTACTTTCACTATTTTCCAATCCAATAGAAACTTTCTGAATTACAGAGCTATGGAAAATTAAAACCAATGGATAACTATTAGTCATTTTGAAAGACATTTAGATGAAGCCCTGCAGGGTCCAGGAATTGTCAGCCCACAGTTCCAACAATTTGCTCAATAGTACTTCCCTGGTGATTGTAATTTTTCTGAGTTGGTCTCTGCCTTCCATTTTCTGATTGAAAGCTATTTTGAAGATGGCCCTTACATCTTCTATGGTGACAACACACGCTTTCTTCCTGTTTTTATTATTGCCTCATTCTCTCAGGACTCTAGTCCTGCAATCATTTTGCAATTGAACCCTTTGACTTATATTGCTCCTCCTTCTTTTCCCTGCCAAAGTGTATCACTTCATGTCTAACTGCTCTGCATCTCACTTGTCACAACCTAAACAAAATTTACAGGATGTAGGCGTCACTGGCTTGACCAGCATTTATTGTCCATACCTAGTTGAGGTAGTGGTGAGCTGCCTACTTGAAAACCTAAAGTCCATTTCGTAGAAAGGATGCGACTTCCACAATTCTGACTCAGCAACACTGAAGGAACGGCAATATATGTCCAAGTCAGGATGGCAAGTGGCTTGGAGGGAAGCTTGCAAGGGTGGTGTTCCCATGCATCAGCTACACTTGTCATTCTAGATGGAAGTGGTCATGAGTTTAGAAGGCGCTAAGGAACTTTGGTGAATTTCTGCAGTGCAGCTTACAGATAGTACACACTGCTGCTTCTGAGCATTGGCATTGGAGGGAGTGGCTGTTTGTGCGAGCTACCTTGTCCCGGTTAGTATCAAGCTTGAATGTTCTTGCAGCTGCATTCGTCCAGGCAAATAGGGAATATTCCATCACACTCCTGACTTGTGCCTTTTAGATGGTGGACAGGCTTTGGGGAGTCAGGGGAGTTACTCACTGCAGGACTCCTCACCTCTGACCTGCTCTTGTAGCCACTGCATTTACGTGGTGAGTCCAGTTGAGTTTCTGTTCAATGGTGACGCAAAGACATTAATAGGGGTTTCAGGGACAGTTACATCATTGAATGGCAATCATTCAATTCTTTCTTGTTGGAGATGGTAATTGTATGGCACAATTGTTACTTGCCACTCATCTGTCAGAAAGGATATGTCACTAAAGGTAAGCATGTAGGTGCAGCAGGCAGTAAAGAAGGCAAATGCAATGTTGGCCTTCGTTGAGAGAGGTTTTGATACACACTGGGTCAATGCAGCCTTTTTTGTCAAGAGCAATCATCATTCTCACCTCACCCGTGTCTTCCAATTTCACCTGCCTGCCCACATCTTGAAGGCTATTTTGCAAATTTTGAAATTGTGCAAGTGCACGCTCTTGTGTCAATGAAACATTGATGTGCAACCACGTTCATCATTACCATTTTCCGATCAGCCGACTAATTTTACCCCCTAGTATTCCAGCATTTATTCCGCGGTGCTTTACTGAATGCCTTTTAGGCATCCAGTCCACATTGACATATCTACAGCATCGTCCCCGCCTTCAAAATTTCAAGCAAGTTAGTCAAACACAGAGATAGTAGGAACTGCAGATGCTGGAGAATCCGAGACAACAAGGTGCAGGGCTGGATGAACACAGCAGGCCAAGCAGCATCATAGGAGCAGAGAGGCTGACGTTTCGGGCCTAGACCCTTCATCAGAAAAGGGGGAGGGGAAGGGGGTTTTGAAATAAATAGGGAGAGAGTGGGAGGCGGATAGAAGAGGGATAGAGGAGAGGAAACAAACAGGTCAAAGAGGCGGGGATGGAGCCAGTAAAGGTGAGTGTAGGTAGGGAGTTAGGAAGGGGATAGGTCAGTCCAGGGAGGATGGACAGGTCAAGGGGGCAGGATGAGGTTGGTCGGTAGGAGATGGAGGTGCGGCTTGAGGTGGGAGGAGGGGATAGGTGGGAGAAAGAACAGGTTAGGGAGGCAGGGACGAGCTGGACTGGTTTTGGGATGCGGTAGGGGGAGGGGAGATTTTGAAACTTGTGAAATCCACATTGATACCATTGGGCTGCAGGGTTCCCAAGTGGAATATGAGTTGCTGTTCCTGCAACCTTCGGGTGGCATCGTTGTGACACTGCAGGAGGTTTAGTAAAACACAGTCTGCCTTCACAATTCCCTGCAGATTTTCCCTTATAAATCTACACTGGTCCAAATAATTGTTAACTGGGGCCCGGTGCTAAACCATCTCCCCCCACCCCATATTCCTCCCGGGCCTCACTCACTCACTCACTCACTCCACTCCCTGGAGCTCCCCTCTCTCTTTCCCCCAACCACTGGAACTTGCCCTCCCAGTACACTCACCACTACCTCCTCCCCTAGAATTCAGCTCTCCCCCTACCCCTCTCACCCTCCCATTATACCCCCACCATATTCTGCAAACCCTCCCTCTCACTCACCTCTCCACCGCAACCCCTCTCCTTTCTCTCCGGTCTCGGTCGATTCCCACCCTCTCACTGCGCATGCCCCGCGCCTCATGACGTCGTCCACCACCGCGCCTCATGACGTCACTGAACGCCCCGCTCCGGACTGCGCATGCCTGGACCGCACGGCCGGCGCGTGCGCCGTGACGCCGGTTTCGCTACCCAGCTCCACCTCCCAGGATCCCCAGCGCGGCCACAGCAAGATGGCGGCGCTCCGCTGAGCGGTGCGGCCCAGCCTCGGGCCTGAGAGGCCGATTTACCGTGAGTAATTCTAGCTCCTCTCCCAACCGCTCCCTACCTTCGGGACCACCCTCCAACCAGCACAAACCCGTTTCCCACCCCCAAATCCTCTCACGGCAATCACAACACCCTCTTCCCCCACACCGGTTGTTCCCCCTCAACGTTCCCCCATCCCATCCACCTTCCCCCCCCCCCCCCCCCCCTCCCCATCTTCCCCCCCCCCCATTTCACCTCCACCCCATCCCATCACCTCACCTCCCCACGGATTTTGTTTTTGAGGAGAAATGCGATTTGCTAGTTTTGAGGTAAGGGAGACAACACCTAAAGGGAGAGATCTGTTTATAATTTTGGCACACATGGGCCTCAAAGCGAAGATGGTAAGCATTGGTTGCAATTGGACCAGTTGACCGGGTTGAGTTTCCTGGATAGGTATGAGGAGAGGTTGGAGAGAAGCTGGAGAAAGATGCATGTTGAAAGTGAATACGGGAAAGAGTGTCCAAGGATGTTTAATCTGAAACACTAGAGGTAGGTTGAGTTTTTTGTGTTTGATTTATTCTTGTCACATATACCTTGGTACAATGAAAAGTTTTGTTTTGGCTGCATTTCAGGCAGATCATATACAAAGTGCATTAGGGTAATAGAACACAGCGAAGAATACAAAGTTAAGGCTGCAAAAAAGGTACACAAAGAGCAAAATCAACATTTAAATATAAAATTTGAGAGATCCATTCAGAAGTCTAATAACAGTGGCAAAAAAGGTGTTCTTGAATCTGTTAGTACATGTGTTTAGGCTTTTGTATCTTCTGCCTGATGGAAGAGGTTGGAAGAGGTTATAACCTGGGTGGGAGGGGTCTTTGATTATGTTGGCTGCCTTTCCAAGGCAGCAAGAAGTGTAGATGGAGTCAATGCATGGAAGTTTGGCTTGCGTGATGGAATGGGCTGTGTTCATAAATCTGTGCAGTTCCTTACTGGCTCTGGGCAGAGCAGTTGCCATACTATCTGGTTAGAATGCTTTCTATGTTGGCTGGTCATGATCTAAATGACAAAGGTATGCATGGGCCTCTTGTTGAGAGTGAGGATGTTGGAGAAATGGATTAAGTTGGTTGGCAGTATGGAAAAGATTGATTCTGTAAACCCACAAACCTGTTTCTTTGAAGTGAAATATGGTTGAAGTCAATTATGGTTTCAAGATAAAATCTGATTTTTTTTTAACCGCATGTTGTTCAATGAAAAACATCTGAAGTGCATGACTAGCCCTAACTTTCAAGCTAGCTAAATCCAAGTCAATTTGTGACCTTATGGATGCAAATATGCACTCTGGTGATTGGTAGAGAGGTGAAGAGGGTCCTTGGAGACATTCTTGAATAGGTCAGCCAATCAATCATAAGATCCCAGAAATAGGAGCAGTAGTTGGCAGTTCAAAGTATCAAGGCTCCTCCAACATTCAGAAAGAGTGTGGCTTGAATTTTTTTTATATTCAATCAATGGATGTGGGCTTTGGCTAGTCCAGCATTTATTGCCCTTAAAAAAGCAATGGTAAAGTACCTTGAACCTTTGCAGTCCTTGGTGGTGTAGATACACCCACAGTGTTGTTAGGGAGGGAGTTCTGGGATTTTAACCTAGTGACCATGAAGGAAGAAATTTCATGCTAAATTATGACAGATTGTGGTGTTCCCCTGCATCTGCTGCACTTGGCCTTCTCATTAGTAGAGATCATGGATTTGGAAGGTGCTGATGAAGGAGTCTTGGTGAGTTCCTGCACTGCATCTTTCAGATGATACACACTGCTGCCAATGTGAGAGGGAGTGAATGTTGAAGTTGATGGATGGGGTGCCACTAGGTGGACTGCTTTGTCTTTGTTGTTGAGTGTTGTTGGAGCTAAACTCATTCAGCCAGGTTGAGAGTATTCTATCACACTATCTGACTTGTGACATATAGATGGTGGACAGGCTTGGGGAATTGGAAAGTGAGCTACTTGTTGCAGAATTCCTAACCTCTGACCTGCTCTTGTAGCCACAGTATCTGTAGCTATTTTCTGATCAACTTGTTCAGAGTTGTGGTTACATATCTCTGCAGCAGGTGAGACTTGAACTTGGGCATCCTGGCTCAGGTGGGGAAGTAAAAGCACTAGCCACAATGTTCATATGGTTAGCCCAGTTCAGTTTCACTCAATGGTGACCCTAGGGATTTCAGTGATGGTAATACCATTGAATATATAGGGGCGATGGTTAGATTCTTTCTTCATCGTGTGAGTATACACAATGGTGCTGAAGTTTGCACAATCATCAGTGAGCATCCCAAACTCTGACTTTATGATGGAGTGAAGGGCATTAATGAGGCAGCTGAAGATGGTAAGGCTGTGGATACTACCCCAAAGAGCTCCTGCACTGGAGCTGGGATGACTGACCTCAAACAAGCATAACAATCTTCCTTTGCCCTCAGGGTATGATCCAACCAGCAGAGAGTTTCTCTCAGTCCCTGTTGATTCCAGTTTTGCTTGGGCTGCTTGGGCTCCTTGATGCTATATATGATGCTGGGGATCTCAGGTGGAAGTTGAGATGGATCATCTACTCAGCATTTCCAGCTGATGATTGATGCAAATGCTTCAGCCTTATCTTTTGCACTCCTGCTGGACTCTTCCATCATTGAGGATGGGAATATTTATGGAGCTGTCTCCTCAAGTTGTTATTGAATATTCCAGTACCTCTCAGCTGCGTGTAATAGGAGTGTGGAGATTAGATTGGCTCCATTGGTTACTGCATTGAAGTTGTAGATTTGCTCGCCGATCAGGTGTGTTTGGTTGCGGACGTTTTGTCACCCTGCTAGGTAACATCATCAGTGCACCTCTGGTGGAGCGTTAGTATTCTGTCCCGCTTGATATTTATATGCTTTGGTTTACTGGGTGGTTGGCATTATTTCTGGCTCTGTTTTTCAATGGTTTGTATATCGGGTCCAGTTCAATGTGTTTGTTGATGGAGTTCTGGTTGGAATGCCAGGCCTCCAGGGATTCTCTGGCTCGCGCTATTATGGATCTGTTGTCCCAGTCGAATTAGTCTCCTTCTTTGTCTGTGTGTACTGAGACTGGTGAAAATTGGTCGTGTCTCTTGGTGGCTAGTTGGTGTTCGTGTATCCTTATAGTCAGTTTTCTTCCAGTTTGGCCTATGTAATGTTTTTCACAGTCCTTGCGTGGTATTTTGTATATTAGTTTTATTGGTTGTGGATGTGAGATCATTTACATTCGTCAGTAGCTGTTGCAGGGTGGCCGTCATTCCACGTGCCTTCCAAATTATTGGCTGTGCTCTTGTGCTGACTTTGTGATTCATGAACTGGGACACCCGGTCCCTCTGTTCTGTAGCATTCAGCAGTAAGACTAGAAGAAATATGACAGGAGTAGGCCGTTCGGTCTGTTGAACTTCTCCACTATTGAATAGGATCCTCGCCCCTCTGTCTCTGCTCATTGAAGTAATATTCTTCTCTGTTTTTCCTGCTAAAGTACACAACCTTACATTTTCCCCCATTATATGACTGGCAGTTTTTTTTGCTGGTTCATTAAACCTGTTCCTTTGAAGACTCTATCCTCCCCCACATGTGCTTTCCTGCGTATTTTTGTAACATTGGCTGCAAATTTGGCTACATATTATTTGTCATTTCATCATGGTGGTATTATGCACTCATTGCTGTCACACTCCACTAATTATAGTTTGACCGTTTTTCCAGACTGTCCATTCCTTATTAGCCAGTCCACAGTATATCACCCCCAAAACTGTGTCCTCTCAACTTGTGCAGTTACCTTTTTTTTGTGGCAGCTTATTAGATACCTTTTTAAAACCCAAATACACTACATCTACAGGTTCATCTTTATCCACCTGCTTACATCTTCTAAGAAATTTAACAAATTTGTCAAACATTGGGCGGTATGGTGCCTCAATGGTTAGTACTGCTGCCTCAGCACCAGGGACTGAGGTTCGATTCTAGCCTTGGATGACTGTGCGTATGGAGTTTGCACGTTCTGTCTGAATCTGTGTGGGTTTCTGCCAGGATCTCTAGTTTCCTCCCACAGTTCAAAGATATGCAAGTTATGTGGATTCGCCATGCTAAATTACCTCATAATGTGCAGGCTAGGTGGATTAGCCATTGGAAATGCGAGATTACGGGGATAGGGTGGAGGAATGGGTCTGGGTGGGATGTTCTTTGGTGCAGATTCGATGGGCCAAATGGCCTCTTTCCATACTTTAGGAATTCTATAATTCTATAAACATTATTTTACTTTCACAAAAACATTTTGTTTTTGCCTGATTTTTTTTTTCAATTTCCTTCTATAGTACTTCCTCAGTGGATTCTAGCATTTCCCCAGTGATAGATGTTACACTACCTGACCTATATTTTCCTGCTTTCCATCTCCCTCCTTTCTTGAAATGTGGTGTTACATTTGTGATTTCCAATATGATGGGACTTCCCAGAATCTAGGAAATTTTAGACGTTCACACCTTATGCATCCTCTATCTGTACATTCACTTCTTTTAACACCATAGGATGCAAACCATAGGTCCAGCAGACTTATCAGCCTTTAGTATCGTTTATTTTGGTACTTTTTTTCCAATGTTGATTATTTTAAGTTCCTCCCTCCCTTTGATCCCCTGCCTTTCTACAAACTTCCAGATGTTTTTAGTGTCTTCCATTGTGAAGACAGAGACAATCTATTTGTTCAAAGTCTCCACCATTTTCAAGTTTTCCTTTATTAATTCATCAGTTTTGCCGCTAACTGGCTTGAGCTACTGTCTTCTCTTTTCTGTTCTTACAGAAGTTCTTAGTATTTTTGCTGGTTTTCTCTCTTAGTCCAATTTCTCCCTTTTATTTTTTTTTCCAATTATCCTTTAGTTTATAGATAACTTACCCAAACTCTGGGTCATCAGTAATCTTTGCAGTTTTGCATTTTTTAAAATTTCAAACTGACACCATCCTTAAATTCTTCAGTTAGCCACGGATGGCATAAACTTCTTGTAGAGTCTTTCTCAGTGGAA